AGTGAAACGTAGAGGATTATTTAATCAACAATACCTTCACCACCACGCACCAAGTAACCATGAATAAATGAAAGTAGATCATTAATCCCCAATATATATTTATGTTATTTTACTTAACATATATATATATCAGAATAACACAACATAATACAATAAAAATGCAAGATAAATATACCAAATAATCATTTGTGTCAATACATTATTTTCAATAACGAATCATAATGCTTTTATATTCAGGGTTTGATTAAAATATCTCGTTGCATGTAAAATATAAATTACTGAAAAAAAAAAAAAGGGATTCCCATTAATTTCAAAAAGATAAAAGTCATCGAAATATAATTATAAGAATAATATAAGAATTAATCACGGAGCAACGAATTTTTTTATGTTGTCAAATCAAACGAAAGATAACAAGGAGGGATTGGAGGAACAAATGGGAAAAGGAATTATTTAATCAGCGACATATTGCACAGGTGGATCAAAATGAATTCAATATCAATTCAAATCGTTCATCCCTTAAGCCAATATATATATATGAATAATATAATAATATAATAAAAATGCAAGTATCGTGGTAATCATTCTGAAATACACGTTCGATAATAAACCAAGGGATTAATATATTCTTACATCAAATATTCCAACATCTTGAAGTATGAATTATCGTGATCAAAAATTACGAAAGAAAAAAAAAGGGAGGGGAGGATCCCCCTTAATTTCGTCAAAAATTTATCAAAGAACGGTTCAAGCAAATTAATCACAGCTTCCCTAAATATCTAATCTACGTTGTCCGACCAAACACACGAGAGATGGAAAAGAGGGTTGGCGGAGCAAATGGTGAGATAGAGGATTATTTAATCAGCGATACCTCTCGCACCGTAAATCAACTATTCATCGGTCGAAACTCAATATACACCTATTCTACACGATTTCCTGCGAAAGGTCACGAAGAATAGAATTAATTCCCGCGAACCGCATGCGTCGTCTGTCCACTTTTTTATTCTTCCTTTTTCTTTCTTTTTTTCCTTTTTTTTTTTTTTTCGTGGAAACGTGTGCACCGACGAAACGGAATCGGCGATTAAATTGTCGCTTCCCCGTAATCCGGGTGGACATCGGTCATAGGGCGTGCCATCGCGATCACCCGCCGCGATAAAAGTCATTAAAATGTCTCGAGATCGTCGTACACCCGCCGT